TAGAGGAAATTCCTCCATTCAATAGAACTTCTTTTTTCGTGAAGAAGATTCATAAGACGAACAAAATTGTACTTTCTATACAATAGCTCTGAAAGAGCTTTTTCATACCAGAGCATCCCATAGATGATAATTTCAAGGTCTTGTTTTGAGGGAGAAACTTCTAAAGGACTTTTTTCAGAGAAGAAATTTCCAAGACATTTCATAAAAATACGGTATTTAAAAAATTTTCAAAAAAAAAAAAAATAGGTCCTTTAAAATATCTTCCATAATAAGAAGATCTACAGAGTGCTGATTGTTGAGAAATTTGTCTTTGAAAATATTATTCTCTTTCTCAGTGGCTTCTTGAGAACATTTCTTAAAACTGAACGTAGATCCTTAGGATAATTTTCACAGTAAATGCATGTCGGTCCTCAAAATTTTTTTCTTTAAAAATCCACGCTTGTGGGTCTTTTGGTCCTTGAAGAATTTTTCTTTAAAAATCCACGCTTGTGGGTCTTTTGGTCCTTGAAGAATTTTTCTTTAAAAATCCACGCTTGTGGGTCTTTTGGTCCTTGAAGAATTTTTCTTTAAAAATCCACGCTTGTGGGTCTTTTGGTCCTTGAAGAATTTTTCTTTAAAAATCCACGCTTGTGGGTCTTTTGGTCCTTGAAGAATTTTTCTTTAAAAATCCACGCTTGTGGGTCTTTTGGTCCTTGAAGAATTTTTCTTTAAAAATCCACGCTTGTGGGTCTTTTGGTCCTTGAAGAATTTTTCTTTAAAAATCCACGCTTGTGGGTCTTTTGGTCCTTGAAGAATTTTTCTTTAAAAATCCACGCTTGTGGGTCTTTTGGTCCTTGAAGAATTTTTCTTTAAAAATCCACGCTTGTGGGTCTTTTGGTCCTTGAAGAATTTTTCTTTAAAAATCCACGCTTGTGGGTCTTTTGGTCCTTGAAGAATTTTTCTTTAAAAATCCACGCTTGTGGGTCTTTTGGTCCTTGAAGAATTTTTCTTTAAAAATCCACGCTTGTGGGTCTTTTGGTCCTTGAAGAATTTTCTTTAAAAATCCACGCTTGTGGGTCTTTTGGTCCTTGAAGAATTTTTCTTTAAAAATCCACGCTTGTGGGTCTTTTGGTCCTTGAAGAATTTTTCTTTAAAAATCCACGCTTGTGGGTCTTTTGGTCCTTGAAGAATTTTTCTTTAAAAATCCACGCTTGTGGGTCTTTTGGTCCTTCAAGAATTTTTCTTTAAAAATCCACGCTTGTGGGTCTTTTGGTCCTTGAAGAATTTTTCTTTAAAAATCCACGCTTGTGGGTCTTTTGGTCCTTGAAGAATTTTTCTTTAAAAATCCACGCTTGTGGGTCTTTTGGTCCTTCAAGAATTTTTCTTTAAAAATCCACGCTTGTGGGTCTTTTGGTCCTTCAAGAATTTTTCTTTAAAAATCCACGCTTGTGGGTCTTTTGGTTCTTGAAGAATTTTTCTTTAAAAATCCACGCTTGTGGGTCTTTTGGTCCTTGAAGAATTTTTCTTTAAAAATCCACGCTTGTGGGTCTTTTGGTCCTTGAAGAATTTTTCTTTAAAAATCCACGCTTGTGGGTCTTTTGGTCCTTGAAGAATTTTTCTTTAAAAATCCACGCTTGTGGGTCTTTTGGTCCTTGAAGAATTTTTCTTTAAAAATCCACGCTTGTGGGTCTTTTGGTCCTTGAAGAATTTTTCTTTAAAAATCCACGCTTGTGGGTCTTTTGGTCCTTCAAGAATTTTTCTTTAAAAATCCACGCTTGTGGGTCTTTTGGTCCTTGAAGAATTTTTCTTTAAAAATCCACGCTTGTGGGTCTTTTGGTCCTTGAAGAATTTTTCTTTAAAAATCCACGCTTGTGGGTCTTTTGGTCCTTCAAGAATTTTCTTTAAAAATCCACGCTTGTGGGTCTTTTGGTTCTTGAAGAATTTTTCTTTAAAAATCCACGCTTGTGGGTCTTTTGGTCCTTGAAGAATTTTTCTTTAAAAATCCACGCTTGTGGGTCTTTTGGTCCTTCAAGAATTTTTCTTTAAAAATCCACGCTTGTGGGTCTTTTGGTTCTTGAAGAATTTTTCTTTAAAAATCCACGCTTGTGGGTCTTTTGGTCCTTGAAGAATTTTTCTTTAAAAATCCACGCTTGTGGGTCTTTTGGTCCTTCAAGAATTTTTCTTTAAAAATCCACGCTTGTGGGTCTTTTGGTTCTTGAAGAATTTTTCTTTAAAAATCCACGCTTGTGGGTCTTTTGGTCCTTGAAGAATTTTTCTTTAAAAATCCACGCTTGTGGGTCTTTTGGTCCTTGAAGAATTTTTCTTTAAAAATCCACGCTTGTGGGTCTTTTGGTCCTTGAAGAATTTTTCTTTAAAAATCCACGCTTGTGGGTCTTTTGGTCCTTCAAGAATTTTTCTTTAAAAATCCACGCTTGTGGGTCTTTTGGTCCTTGAAGAATTTTTCTTTAAAAATCCACGCTTGTGGGTCTTTTGGTCCTTGAAGAATTTTTCTTTAAAAATCCACGCTTGTGGGTCTTTTGGTCCTTCAAGAATTTTTCTTTAAAAATCCACGCTTGTAAATCTTTTGGTCCTTGAAGAATTTTTCTTTAAAAATCCACGCTTGTAAATCTTTTGGTCCTTGAAGAATTTTTCTTTAAAAATCCACGCTTGTAAATCTTTTGGTCCTTGAAGAATTTCTGAAATTTTCCAATTGTTGAATCTTTTGGTCTTTGAGAAATGTTGTTTTTTTTTAATTTGCATTTATTGCTCTGTTTGAACTTGATAAAATATCCCAAAAATATCCTGTTTGGTTCATGAGAAATTTTTTCAATAAAAATCCGCATTTGTGAGTCTATTAAGGCCTAGAAATTACTCCTTAAAAATACAATTATAGAGGTCGGTTGGTCCTTGAAAAAAGCAAAAAACATATGTATTTTACTGTTATTTGCTCGGGTTTTTTTAATATCCTCGGTTTTTTAACCTGACGCTCCTTCGAGAAAATGTTTAGTTAAAGGTCATTTATAGTGAAATAGTATGGGTCCTTCACAGACATCCTGAAGCTGAAGAATATTTTTAAAATAGTGGACATTTAAGGAATGTTTTTTTTTCAAGGACCAGCAGACCAATAAACGTTTTAAGTAAAGAATCCGCAGACCAAAAACTTGAACATAATAAGAAAATTTTCTCAAGGATCATCAGACTAATACGCTTAGATTTTTTCAAAAATTCTTTCAAAAACCAACAAATCAAAAACGTGGATCCTTAAAGAACAAAGAAGACTTTTTAAAGAAACCTGAATTTTTTAAAGAATATTTTTTAAGGACCAAAGGTGGATTTTTTAAAAAATATTTTTTTAAAGACCAAGGAGCTAACATGGTTTTTTTTAAGGACCAAGGGTGTATTTTTTTTTTAGAATATATATTTAAGATCCCAACGTGATTCTTTTTAAATATTTTTTGAGGACCAAACTTGGATTTTTTAAAGGATATTTTTTAAAGACCAAGGACCAAACGTCGATTTTTTAAGGACCAAAAGCGGATTTTTTAAAGAATATTTTTTTAGGGACCAAGGGCCAAATGTGGATTTTTAAGGACCAAACGTGAAATTTTTAAAAAATATTTTTTAAGAACCAAGGACCAAACGTGGATTTTAAAAGAATATTTTTCAAGGACCAAGGACCAAACGTGGCTTTTTTAAAGAATATTTTTAAACGGCCAAGGATCAAATGTGGATTTTTTAAAGAATATTTTTTAGGGACCAAGGACCAAAAGTTGATTTTTAAGGACTAAACGTGAAATTTTTAAAGAATATTTTTTAAGAACAAAAGGCCAAACGTGGATTTTTAAAAGAATATTTTTAAAGAACCAAACGTGGCTTTTTTAAAGAATATTTGTTCAAGAACCAAACGTGGCTTTTTTAAAGAATATTTTTTAAAGAACCAAACGTGGCTTTTTTAAAGAATATTTTTTCAAGAACCAAACGTGGCTTTTTTAAAGAATATTTTTTCAAGAACCAAACGTGGTTTTTTTTAAAGAATATTTTTTCAAGAACCAAACGTGGTTTTTTTTAAAGAATATTTTTAAAGGGCCAAGGACCAAACGATGATGTTTTAAAGATTTTTTTTTCTAAGACCAAGGACCAAACGTGGATTTTTTAAAGATTTTTTTCCAACGACCAAGGACCAAACGAGGATTTTTTAAAGATTTTTTTTTCTAAGACCAAGGACCAAACATTTTTTAAAGAATTTTTTTTTTTTTTTTTCTAAGACCAAGAACCAGACGTGGATTTTTTAAAGAAATTTTTTCAAGGACCAAGGACCAAACGAGGATTTTTTAACAAACATTTTTTAAAGAATTTTTTTTTTTCTAAGACCAAGAACCAGACGTGGATTTTTTAAAGAATTTTTTTTTTCTAAGACCAAGAACCAAACGTGGATTTTTAAAGAATATTTTTAAGGACCAAACGAGGATTTTTTAACAAACATTTTTTAAAGAATTTTTTTTTTTCTAAGACCAAGAACCAGACGTGGATTTTTTAAAGAATTTTTTTTTTCTAAGACCAAGAACCAAACGTGGATTTTTAAAGAATATTTTTAAGGATCAAACGTGGATTTTTAAAAGAATATTTGTTTAAGGACCAAACGTGGCTTTTTTTAAGAATATTTGTTTAAGGACCAAACGTGGCTTTTTTTAAGAATATTTTTTTAGGGTCAAACGTGTACTTTATAAGAATATTTTTTTAGGGTCAAACGTGTACTTTATAAGAATATTTTTTTAGGGTCAAACGTGTACTTTTTAGAGAATATTTTAAATTTTAAAATTGATTTTTTTTTATTGAACAATTGTTCAATAATTAACGTCGAGTTTTTATGAATATGTTTTTAAGGGTAATGCAGATTTGGATTTTTTGAAGAATTAACTTGGATTGTTTTCAAAAAAAACCTTTTTCAAGAAATGAACGTAGATTTTTTCCTGGACTAATAAACAAAAATGTTCCTTCTTTTTTCCCATTCCTTTTTTCAGAGAATGCTACCCGCTATTGCTTTCCCAATGGCACCTGGGATAATTACTCCAACTACGACAAATGCCATCATGCAGTTGAACTACCCGCCATACCTGACTTTTCGCCGGGCGTTGAGTTGCCCACCTACATCTACTGCTGTGGTTATTTCCTTAGTTTAAGCGCCCTGGTTTTAGCTTTAATTGTATTTCTATGCCTGAAGTAAGTATTGACGTTGGGTGGCAATCTGCCGCTGGATGCACTGGGTCATATACCTGACATTTGCTAATATTTATTTCCATTAATTTCCTTCGGCATTGCGAATGTGGCGGGAAAAGTGATCTGGGAACAGTGGGGGAGGTTGGGAATTGAAGTGCATTTTTAAAGAATATTTTCTGAAAATATGCCAAATGTTTCTATTTTAGAAGATTACTACAATTTTAAATATTTTCGTAATGTGAAAGTTCAAATTTCCAAACACCCCTTGGTTCATCTATCACCCAGCCTTATTTCACGCCTTCTCACCAAGACTGACCCTTGTGCAAAATTCCGAAATTCCAGCTTCAGCAGTTTTGTCGGACCGTTGATTCTCGGTCAGTCAGTCAGTGTTTTGACTACTCTTTTATGTCTATATATATAGAACATTCGCTGTCATAACTGCCGAACAAAATTTTTTCAACTTACCCCACTGTCAGCAAATTTCATTTTCATTTCGATCATGGAAAATTTATCTCATTTTAAATTTCATTCCATTTCGTTCATTGCAATATGGCCCAGCTTCGGCTTTGAATTCATTTCCCCGTTTTTCTATTTATTTTTTTATCCTCGATTTTCTTTATTGCAACTTTACTCCTACTTTATTATCTCCCCGTGCTTGGTATCGTCGTTCAATTGCCGTTACAATAACAACAACAATAACCATAATGAACACATGTGATGTACAACACCAATCATCGTTCTACCTACTCCACCATCGCAGAGACTTGAAATGCCTTCGGAATACAATTCATGCGAATTTATTTCTCACTTACATTCTCTCAGCCTTATTGTGGATATTAACTCTGTTCCTGCAAGTGGTAGGTATTGCCAACTGATTTTGATATTTCATTTCATTTTATTTTCAGTACTATGGAAATGGGGGATACTCTAAGATACACACTTCGGATCAGAGATTTTTTCGATGTTTTAAGAATATTTTTTCAAGGACCTGAATTTCTTCAAAAACCAAGGACAGATTTTTTTTACAAAAACTTTTTAAAGACAAAGGTTCAAACGTTATTTTCTTAAAAAAATGTTGAAGGAACAAGTGGGGATATTTTAAAAAAACCTTTTTTCGAGGACCAAATATGAATTTTTAACAAATATCTTTCCACGGATCTATAAACCTTAATTTTAAAAATATTTTTTTAGAACCAAATATTATTTTATAGACAAAAGACCCAACATGGATTTTTTTTAATATTTATTTAAGGACCTTCGACCAAAAAGCGTGGATTTTTTCCAAAATTTTTTTCCTCAAGAACCTTCGACCAAAAAACGTGGATCTTTTCCAAAAACTTTTTCTCAAGAACTTTCAACCATAAAACTTGGATCTTTTCCAAAATGTTTTTCTTAAGAACCTTCGACCAAAAAACGTGTCCCTGAAATAATAGCTTTAAAAATCCACATTTGGCCCTTTTCCCTTGAAATAATATCTTTAAAAATCCATGTTTGGAACATTTTTCCTTTGTCCTTGAAATAATATTTTTAAAAATCCACGTTTGGTCCTTTGTCCTGGAAATAATATTTTTAAAAATCCACGTTTGGTCCTTTGTCCTTGAAATAATATTTTTAAAAATCCATGTTTGAAACAGTTTTCCTTTGTTGAAATTATATTTTTAAAAATCCATGTTTGAAACAGGTTTCCTTTGTTGAAATTATATTTTTAAAAATCCATGTTTGAAACAGTTTTCCTGTGTTGAAATTATATTTTTAAAAATCCACGTTTGGTCCTTTGTCCTTGAAATAATATTTTTAAAAATCCATGTTTGAAACGGTTTTCTTTTGTTGAAATAATATTTTTAAAAATCCATGTTTGAAAAGGTTTTCTTTTGTTGAAATAATATTTTTAAAAATCCACGTTTGGTCCTTTGTCCTTGAAATAATATTTTTAAAAATCCACGTTTGGTCCTTTGTCCTTGAAATAATATTTTTAAAAATCCACGTTTGGTCCTTTGTCCTTGAAATAATATTTTTAAAAATCCACGTTTGGTCCTTTGTCCTTGAAATAATATTTTTAAAAATCCACGTTTGGTCCTTTGTCCTTGAAATAATATTTTTAAAAATCCATGTTTGAAACGGTTTTCTTTTGTTGAAATAATATTTTTAAAAATCCATGCTTGAAAAGGTTTTCTTTTGTTGAAATAATATTTTTAAAAATCCACGTTTGGTCCTTTGTCCTTGAAATAATATTTTTAAAAATCCACGTTTGGTCCTTTGTCCTTGAAATAATATTTTTAAAAATCCACGTTTGGTCCTTTGTCCTTGAAATAATATTTTTAAAAATCCACGTTTGGTCCTTTGTCCTTGAAATAATATTTTTAAAAATCCACGTTTGGTCCTTTGTCCTTGAAATAATATTTTTAAAAATCCACGTTTGGTCCTTTGTCCTTGAAATAATATTTTTAAAAATCCACGTTTGGTCCTTTGTCCTTGAAATAATATTTTTAAAAATCCACGTTTGGTCCTTTGTCCTTGAAATAATATTTTTAAAAATCCACGTTTGGTCCTTTGTCCTTGAAATAATATTTTTAAAAATCCACGTTTGGTCCTTTGTCCTTGAAATAATATTTTTAAAAATCCACGTTTGGTCCTTTGTCCTTGAAATAATATTTTTAAAAATCCACGTTTGGTCCTTTGTCCTTGAAATAATATTTTTAAAAATCCACGTTTGGTCCTTTGTCCTTGAAATAATGTTTTTAAAAATCCACGTTTGGTCCTTTGTCCTTGAAATAATATTTTTAAAAATCCACGTTTGGTCCTTTGTCCTTGAAATAATATTTTTAAAAATCCACGTTTGGTCCTTTGTCCTTGAAATAATATTTTTAAAAATCCACGTTTGGTCCTTTGTCCTTGAAATAATATTTTTAAAAATCCACGTTTGGTCCTCTGTCCTTGAAATAATATTTTTAAAAATCCACGTTTGGTCCTTTGTCCTAGAAATAATATTTTTAAAAATCCCCGTTTGGTCCTTTGTCCTTGAAATAATATTTTTAAAAATCCACGTTTGGTCCTTTGTCCTTGAAAAAATATATTTTTTTTAAATCCACGTTTGGTCCTTTGTCCTTGAAAAACTAATTTTAAAAATCCCCATTCGGTCCTTAGACCTTGAAAAAGTAATTTTAAAAATTCACCTTTGGTCCTTTGTCCCTGAAAAACTAATTTTAAAAATCCACGTTAGGTCGATTTTCCTTGAATAAGTATTTTTAAAAACCCAGGTTTGGTCCTTTGTCCTTGAAAAATATTTTTAAAAATCCACGTTTGGTCCTTAGACCTTGAAATAATAATTTTAAAAGTCCACGTTTGATTTGTACAGGATGTGGATTTTCTAGAAATATTTTTTCAAGGACCTTTGATCAAAGAAATGTGGAGTTTCTTAAAAAAAAAATTAAGGACTTTTGATCGATTTTTTGACGATTTGTTAAAAACAAAAATTTTAGGGACAAAGGTTTGGTAGTTGGATATCTATTAAAAAATATTTTTCTCTCTCGATCGATCAGAGAAACTTAATTTTTTTTAAATATTTCGATCGATCAAAGGAACGTGGATATTTTTTCAGAATACATGTCTTTAAAAAACCAATGATTAGACGTGCATCTTGTTTAGAATATTCAAATACCTTCTTCCGGGGGACCTTGAAATACCTTCTTCCAAGGACCTTTTTAATAACTTTGTCAAGAACTATCAGATTTTTCTAATTTTCCAAATATGTAATGATGTAGGCCATCTCTTGGTTCGTCCTTGCCGTCTGTATTCTATTTCATTATTATTTTTCCACCATTCCCTATAATAATGAGTGTGAATGAGCGTGCATTTGAAATGTCTAAGCGTTTCCTGTCAAGTGTTGGCATATGTATTTGTCGTTACACATACAGGCGTGTGTGTAGGAAATATGTGTGTATGTATGCATTTGATATGTCAATATGCCATTAAATGTCTGTTAGAGGCATGTGAGCATTAGATTAAGTTAATGTGTGTGCCGTTATTGCAGTCATTGTGTGTGAGTGTGTGTGTAAATTTTCTATGTATATATATCCTTGTGTAATTGGTGATATTTCCTGTTGCTTCTTTTCCTGATGTGGCTGCTGCTGCTGATGCACCAGCCATCCAGCCAGCGAAGGTACTTTGACGGCATAGGTGTGAAATTAAATTAAAATAAACTATTTTAATCAATCCTGAAAAAGTTTTCTTCATTGATATTAATGTGAATGTGTGTGGGTGGCAATTTCAACGATTTTTAAATATCTTTCTCTCCTTTTTAGATGACAGATCATTCCAGCCAAGCTGGCTGCATAACACTAGTCATGATGTTCCATTATTTTAATTTAACGAATTTCTTTTGGATGTTTGTGGAAGGTAAGTAAGAAAATAAAAATTTTGTATTTTATAGAATTAATTACTATAACTTTGTTAATTAATTAAAAATTGCACAAAAATGGAGATTTTTAAATAAAAATATTAAAATAAAATTTAAATTTCTATTTTTGTAATAAAATTAAAACTACCAAAATATTAAAGTTAAAAATTTTATTTTTTTAATTTATTATTAATTTCTCTGTAAATTTATTCCAAATTGCTTTTTTAATTTATTATAAATTTTTATGTAAATTAAATCCAAATTAAAAATTTTTTTCATTTTTCTCCAGGTCTTTACCTCTACACCCTGGTGGTGCAAACATTTTCCAGTGATAATTTGGGATTCCTGCAGTATGCCCTAATTGGATGGGGTCAGTATCGACCACAGTTTTACTACTGTCTAATACTCAATTAATATATTATTTCCGCCTCTCCCCCCCTTTTCCACCCCCCGCTTGTAGGTTGTCCAGCTATCATTGTGTTTGCCTGGTCGATAGCGAAAATCTATGCACCGCCTTTAAATACCGAACGATTTATTGGGGTAAGTGTTTAACAGCATGCCACAACAAAACAATAATTACAACAACAAAAATAACAACAAGTCAATAATAGAATAATAAACAATTAGGAGGTGCCATACGAGGCAAAAGATAAAAGCAAAATGTGGCGATACCATCCATGGTGTTGTTGTATTCCCATAAAGAGTCAATAAACAACAACACCACCATTTTTCGGTTCGGTTCAATTTCGGTGCCAGTGACCAGCTGGTTTTTTTTCCAGTGACGTCACGTATTCTAAGAGCAAATCTTTTAAAGTTTGTTTTTCTTTTAATTTTTTTTTTTTGGTCTTTGGATGTCTGCCTCCCGGACCAAATTTGCAAGAAACAAAAACAGAGACCTTGGTTAATGAGTTTATAATTAAATTTATTTTAACAATTAAGAGAACAATGAATGTTTTATTTTATTACTTTGTTTTGGGCAAATTAAATGGGGAACAGATATATTTTCTTTGGCAAGAAGGCTTTTTAGCAGCGGGTTACCATTGACGGTAAGACTTGAAATTTTCAAAAAAAAATATTTTGAATTGTTTAAATTAAAGTGGATGTTTTTACCAAAAAAATCTTTTTAAGCGCTTATAACAAATTTTTTTTAAGAATTTAAAAAAAATCTAGATTCGCTCCAACAAATTTTGTACTATTTATTATCTTTCGTACAAATATACTACACATTTCAAAAAACACCTCCATATCTCATTTCCAGATACCAACAGATACCTTCAACCAAAAACACATTTGGTACTATTTAGTACTTTTCGCCCAAATATGGGATGCATTTTCAAATCGCCACCGCCAAATCTCAAACACAGATATCATCACTAGTTTAAATGTCAAATTTCAGATTTTCATCTCTAATCCCTTCACCCAATACCAAATATAGTACCATTCAGTACTTTTCGTACAATTATAGTACTCATTTCCAAAGCCACCCACATATCTTAACCGAAAGCACCAACCGTGACGTCTATATCAAAATTAAGGATTTCAGCTCTATTCCTTCACCCAATACCAAATTGTACCAAATAACGTACTATTTAGTACTTTTCGTGCTCTTGTAGTATAGATTTCCAAAACCATCTACATGCCTTAATTACCTACATACCTTAATCACCAACAGTAACATCTATACACCAAATTTCAGCTCTGTTCCTTCACCCGGTACCAAATATAGTACAATTCGGTACTTTTCGTACAATTATAGTACATATTTCCAAACTACCTCCAAATATATTTCCATTCAGTACTTTTCGTACAATTATAGTACACATTTTGGAAACCACATCCATATATCCAGGCTTGACATGAAATGCGACCCTAATACCAAATTTCAGATTTCAAGCAGTGCCTTTTCACCCAATACCAAATTGTGCCGAATATATAGTACTATTTCGTACTTTTCTCTGCACTTGTAGTACACATTTCCAAAATCACCCTGCATATCTTGATCACAGACACCAACAGTGACTTCTACAGGGTGAGATAGAAAACAGCAACAAAGACAAATGCCATAATTTTTATTTTTTTTTTTTATATTTTATTGAATGAAAGCAAAAAATGTCGGAAATAGCATCAAATTTTAGAATAAGTTTAGATTTGTTCGAATTGGTTCCCTTTGGCACGTATTATGGCCATCAAACGGCCAATGAATCCGTAAAACACCCTGCCCGAATGTTGCTCTGTGGTATTTTGGCCCATTCCCAGCGAAGCGCTTGCCTCAGTTGATCGACACTTTGGTATTTTGTAGTGCCAATCTTGCTTTTCAAAATACTCCCGACACAATAGTCCAACGGATTGGTATTCGGAGTTTTTGCGGGCCATTGTGCCATGGAAATGAAGCGATAAACCTCATTTTGTAACCATTCTTGCGCGTGCTGAGTTTTGTTGGAATGTCCAAGGTCTGCGACCAAAATATTTGCGTGCCCAAGGCTTTAATACACCCTCCAGAATATTTTCGCGATAATATTCGTCATTTATTCTGATGCCACGGTCGATTAATACAAGCGGAGAGCGACCATCGGCTGTAATGGCGTTATGGCCCACACCATCACCATGGCCGGCGCTTGAGTTCTGATGGCCAACCGAAGATGGACATTTTCAGCTGATCTCTGTGGCAAGTAAACGCTATCATTTTTTTTTTTTTTTGTTTTTGTTTACAAACTGCTGGACAACGAATGTTTTCACATCGGAGAAAACCAAATTCGGCAGTTCACCACTTTCGGCCAAGCAGAGCAACTATTTAGCTCTTTTGAGTCTATTTTCTTTTTGTTGCCGTGTAAGTTCTTGCACTTTTTGGAACTCCAATGGCTCATAGCTACCCCGAGTTCATTTTTCAATATTTGCCAAATGGAATATTGCGATGTGTTCAGCCCACGAGCCATTTTTCAGGTACTGCGACGCGGTTTTCGATCAAGTCGCTTCTTTACTTTTCGAACCATTTCTGCTGATGTTGCTGTATTCTTTCGTCCACTTCCTTTATGTCGGACTACGCTACCAGTATCACGGTCCGGTTACGAGCGATGGTACGAGACACAAAAGATTTATTCACATTTAAATGCTGGAGTGATCTAACGATAGCCACTTGTGGTTTTCCAGCCAAATATAAAGAAATGTAAACACTATCACACTTGCATTCCATCACGAATAACATTTTTTTGTTTTAAAAATTCTCACCAAAATGCTGTCATGAGCTGTCACTGGATTAATTTTAACAGCTGTCGAAAGTTGGTTGCAGTTTTTCCATCTCATCCTGTAGTTGGTACGTCTCAATATTTCTATCAACACAAGATATGTTATAAAGATGATAGAGATCGGACCATAACTTCTGGTGCCTCCCCCACAAAGGGTCAAAGTTTTAAATAGCCGAAACGATCATAAAATCCGAAATAAGCAACCTTCATATTTCGCGCAGCTTACGATTTCTTTTAACACAAAATCTATTGTGAGGATGGGATATATTCTAGTCCACCCCTCTTACCTCCCCCCACTCCTACTTACCTCCCCCTATATACAAAGTTTATAAACTTCGTAATTAACCTTCGGTATCATTCAGACTTGGTACATGTCAATATTTCCATCAACACAAGATCTATTGTAAAGTTGGTGGAGATCGGACCATTTCGTCTGGTAACTCCGCCATATAGGGTTCAATATTTTGAAAAACAAAGCGCGAAATAAGCATCCAACTGTCTTCGAAGTTCACACATACAAACATTTTTGCTAACACAAGATATGTTGTGAAGTTGATATATATCTGTAAACCCCGTTTTGGTACCTCACCCACAAAGAGTTAAAATTGTCAATACTTTTATCTGCGGAACAAGTCAGCGATTCTTTACAACTTCCTATATCTAAATATTTTTCTGAAATTTATGATTGCGCATAAAATTGGATATAAATGTTCGATTTTCTTGTAAGTTTTCCCATACCAATATATTTATCTGTATTCGATAAAGTATGGAAATGGGATGCTTCTATCGGTCAGCTATATTTGGTACCTCAAAGACATTTTTAAATTTTCTCAAAATTATAACATATCTCACATAAAGTGAAGAAAGTAACCCATGTAGTACAAACCTGGCATATATCGAATTTATTTAGGTCCCAAATGAAATGGACAATATTGACCCATTTCCTCGGAACCCACTCCATAGAGGGTCAACAATTCGATTAATCATAACAGAAGTCAAAATATATTTAAGTAATCGAACATTGGCTGAGGGTTTACATCTGTCGGCAAAATTGACTGAAACTGTTTAACTTGTTTAGCTGCGGGATTTTTCTTGTAATTATTGAAAAAAAAGGAAACGTGGGATTTTAAAGTATGTTTCTTTCCGGGCTTATTGAAAGCAGGGATTTTTTAAAGAATATTTAATATATATTTTTTTTATAAAAATATGCTTCCAAGGATTTTTGTGATTTTTTCACACCCTCCCTAATATTCATTAAATATTAATTTATGTAAGTGATTACACACGTGCCGTTTGGCATCGTTTTGCCTGTGTCCGTGGCAAGAAAATAAATCATTCGGAGAAATTATTAATTAAATGATTACACAAATATGTATCCTGAAGTCATAAAATCGAACTGCAAAACTCCAAATACCCGCACTGAGACTGATTTCCATATGAATCAATAAAATCTGAACAGTTATGACACGGATGATATGACATTTGATTGCCTTTGGGCGCCAAAAGAACAAATTGTATGGCATGAATATGTTAATGTTGACATTTATCAATTTTGCTGATTTTATTTTAATTTTGGTATTTTGGGTGAAATAAATTGTGTATCAATATTCACTTAAATTCAATTCATTGAACTATTTAAGGTACCAGTATTTCTATGGTCCTGATTGATGTGTAAATCTATGATAATCTCTCAATATTGGCTCATTTTAAATTCCAATATTGAAACATGCCTTTAAAGCTATCATCATTAACTCCTCCCTCCCTCCTTTTGTAGGAGTTCTTCCATCTGGAGAAATTTCAATCAGATTTCAAATTTTCTCGTAGGCCGACAATTGATTTCGTCAGTGAAGTGAAAATCAACAGAGGAAAACAAAAAAACGCCCAAACATAAAAAACAAACACAGACACACACACATTCCTGAAAACCTGAAGTGAGTTTTGAAAAACCAAGTTTGCATAAATCTTCTAAAGAACACACAAGGATGGAGTGAGGGAGGAGATGGGGAGAAAGTGTTACGGAAGAGAAAGTAATCTCATCTTAAATTCCATTACACTTCGAAGTGCATGAATACCAAATGCGAAAGAAAATGAAACAAAAATTGGCCAACTTAAAAAAGAGAGTAGAGTAGAGTAGAGAGTAGCTGTAAATAAAAAAAATGAAGAGAATTTTTCAAAAAAAAAAAAAAAAAAAAAAAAAAAAAACAAGTAGGCAAAGGCTAAAGTCGTGCGGGCCGTCCATGTGATACCCTACAAGACTACAATATGTTAGAAGCCCCCCTTCCATTTTGGATGATTTCG